CTAAGGAGGGTTTTAGTACATACTTCTAACTGTCTGGTCGTAATTGGAGCCCAATGGTTTATGTATTCCAGGCACTTGTGAAGACTGAATGTTGGCTTGCTCCAATAGTGAAACAGACTTTAGTCTTGGTCCAGAAGTATTAAGAGTTTTAGGTCTTTATTTATGGAAGGTCATTATTAGCTGAAACAGGCCATAAAGTATTTACGCTTGCTGTTAAAAGGGGCTGGTAAACATTTTGTCACAAGATTAAAGAGCATTGTTTTCAACCACATTGTCTAGACCATTTGACAAAAAATGCAGAGAAGGCTACAGCCCAGTTTATGTACATGTCAATCTTATAAAATAAACAAAAACAAACTAAAATATCTGTCTAGTTTCAGGCAAAATGTGAACTGCAGTTACCAGAGCTATGCTGAGATTCAACAGAAAAAGAAGTAAAATATGAACAGTGGTCTGGGGCACCTTGTTCTTGGATACTTAGAGCAACCAAGGAGGAGATGGATGTTCTCAAATATATCTTTTGTCTTTAGGCAAAGGATGATGTTCTATACACTTTTTACAGGAAAATATTTTAAAAGTACAAATGTCAGTCATCTAAGGATTGAAAACTCAAGAATGTTGCAGGCTGTTCCAAACTACTGCCATGAATAATTATTACTCTCTGCTGAGAGTTGTCACATAAAATGCTGTGAAAGGCTCTATTTTTTTTCCTGAGAAAGTTATGGTAATTATTTAGTTTGCTTTTTTACCTTACTTTTATTGGATTAAAAAACCCTGGACAATACTGAAGAATTCTTCCAAGAATATTACTCTTTTTTGCCTCAGGCATCTTCTTAGACTGTCCTAGAAAGTACTACAGCTAAACAGGTGATCATGAACCACAAACCTGATCTCACTAGAGGGAATAGTCCTGAAATGGTTCTGTTTTACAGTAGATGCAGTTCAGTGGGCTGTTTTAAACTGATGGAGTTTTGGTATGTACCTGCTAGATCCTAATACTCCTTATCCAAAGGGGCAAGTAATGTTTTCAAAGCAGTAAATTGGAGTCAGGTATTGGTCCATGTTTAGAGTAGTTGCATTTCAGAATGGGTACAGTGATGCCTGTGCTTTCCACTGGTGATTTCTATCCTGAAAGGAGTTGGCTGTTAGAAACTGGTATCGGAGTGACCACAGACCTGCAAAGAAAGTACAGCTATGGGGTGGTGTGGTTTAACCCCAGCTGAAACCAAGACAAATATGCAGAGTTAGAATAAACCAAGGATCTTAAGGGTTTATTCCATGTGCTTGGGCACTGTGAGACCACCTGGTACAACACTGCAGTGGGCTCAGCACGCTGCTCTTTGGAAGCAATGAGATCAGCAGTATGCTCTGGCCAAAGGAACACGTGCCTCAGACAGACAGGTGACATCCCTGCACAGGAGAAAGGAAAGGGTGCTGTATTGGCTCCGCTTTGCATGGATATCTCATGCAGGTGGGAACTGTTGAGGCAGCTGAGCCCCAAAAGATGACATCACAACAGGAACTGTTACGTTTTCTCCTTCCTAAAAATTGTACTGTGAGCTGCAGATCAACACACCACAACACCTCAGGGACCCTACATTCCCAGTACATTTTAATTAGCACTACTGATGTCTTTACGATTACATACTATGATAATTTTCACTGTTAATTTTAGCTTGTGTTATGTTTGGCTAGGAAAGGAAAATATGTGTAGCACTGTGCTTTTGAGCTTCTGGCCTGAGCCATCTGGAGCAGGTTATTTCATCAGTCATGTTATGAGATGGCAATTATAATTCAGACAGTGAGCGAAGCAGACCTCAGCTGATAATCTAAGGTAGTCTTTGAAAAATTATAGGCAACCCTCCCCACACACCTGGAGTTTGCAGCTGAGATTCTTTCCTGAGAGGTGGAAGAAATGAGTGCTACTCTTTCTCAGGCAGAATTAGGGTTTGAGACCCTGTTTCCAGCGTGGTGCTATACAAGGGGCATTAGGGTGAGATGTGTGTATGTCAAATCACTGCCTGTGTTTTAACATCAACATGTGACAATATCAAAAGCTTGCTTACTTGGCAGTCTCCAGGAACATTTAGTTCAATCTCCATGTTAGGCAAAAGCTCAACTTGTGAATCTCACAGAGCTTAGATGCTAGCAAAACACTGTTGTTTCTGCAAGTGCCCAGCAGTTTTGCTGTTTTACCATTTTTGCTGGTAAAAACGTTTGGTTCCATAAGATTTGGTAGGAGCAAAATTAATGTTTTTAGCATCAAAAGCTTGGACATGTAGGGCCGAAAGTGTCAGTTACTGGAAAATTCCTTTAATGAATTTACGTCTGTGGGGCTGGGTAAAAGATGTCTATGACTTGGCACGTAGAATGACTTTGGGCTCACAGACCTACCACCATACAGAGTTGTATGCTTTCACTCTTCTCACAGTTTTAAAATTTTCTTGAAAATGTTCAGAGTGGGGGAATTCTAAAAAGTGACAAGAACATCCAAGAAGGGTGTTTGAGAGATGTGATTCTGGCAAAATGTAAGAACAAAATCAGGTGTTAAAAAAGGAGATGAAATGTTGTGAAATTTAGAGGATTACTTGTTTCTGCAAGGAAGATTTTCTGTTCAGGATGATAAGTATAATTAACTATTCTTAAGTTCCCTGACCTATTTACTGCTTTTGTCTTAGCATTCAGAATCTGTCAGATTATGTTCTCCAGTGTTGAGGGCTCCTGTTCATCCAGTGCTTTATCTGCAGGAGCATGGCTCAATTCCCATGTGCAGCTGTCTCATCCAAAGAGGGTAAAGTTATACAGCACATTTTATGTCGCCCTTATTGTATATTACACAATTTTCAAAATCCAGTCTTAATTGGAGATATGGTTTCAACCCTAGCTATGCACGAAGCAAACTTTGAGCACATAGTTATTTATCAGAGCCCTATTTTATACTGGGACAGTTCTGCATCTCCTCATGAAGACAAAGGCAATGTCAAGGTAATCTAAATAAAGTAATGGATTTTATCATTTGGAGGGATATTTGAGACCACTGAAGTGAGAGCACCACTACACATGAAGTTTAGCCACCATCTTAAGCATAAATGCTGAAGGTGTTAGCACAGAGTGTTGAAAGATGCATCAAATTGTTCATTTCTATAGGGTGAACAAAAGGGGGCTTATACACCACAAAATCCTTCCTTTATACAACCCTTCATACCAAACAGAGTTGTGAAAAGGCTGTGGTTTCATCTCATTGTTTTGTGACTGATGGTAGTTATAGAAAGGTACTGCAGAAATTCCACTTAGCCACAACATCAAATCCTTTTATTTTGGAAAAAAAACAGTCACCAAGCTGTAAACTAGCCCAGGTTGTGGTTTGGTACACTTTTTATACTCTGGTTTTTATCCACTCCAGCTGTCAGATGGAGACAGGAAAAATCAAAACATTTGTACAGTATTTCTTCTTAAGGGAGCCCCTTAGGTGGTGAGATCTGGATTCACCTCCTGTCTCCAGGGCTGGAGCACCTCTGCCAGTTGGCTGATGGATCAGAACTCTGAGGCAACTATTTGGGAGTAGACTGGTGCTGCACTCATACAGTGATTCTGGCATGCATGCAATGATTTTACCATGTGATTGTAGAAAAATTCAGTGGATTAGCAAGTGAAGTATTATCAGATGAAGCAAGCTCTTCATCCATACAGCTGGATGCACAGAGCATTTGCTTTCCTGTAAAGCTGTTTCTCATTGTTTCAATAGATTTTTCACACTTCTAACATACAGTAAGCACTGCTACTCTTATATCTGTTAGCTGTCCAGGTTATTGAGTGTACTGAGAAACTCTGATGGTATGGAGCAGTGAGAATACTCACTGTTAAATATTTGCCATAATTAAAATTTTCCTGGTCTTTGCTTTCTATCCTCTCTTGCCTGTTTTCTGACCCACAACAAAACTTCACAACATGCCCAGCAGGTTCTTCAGAAATCCCTTGTGCAAGTTTTTGTTAGGTTTTTGGGAACTTTATTAAAAGTAAGTAAATTGGTTCTTGTTTATCTGCCAATCTATAGACTGAATGATTCCAGGTGAGTGTTTAATTTTCCATGCAGTGCAAGTGATGCAAACAAGTCAAACTGTCAGAAACGGCCTGGAGCCTCTGGTGCTGTCATTTTTGAAAGGTAATTACAGCCAGTTAACAAGATACAGAGGTCTCGAGCTTCCCTTTGGCTCCAATACAACTTGTGGGGGCTCAGTGCCTCTAAAGCAGTCCTTGTATCTCAAGCTGGATATTGATGCTTAGAGGCAAATTTTATATTATCTGTTATATCAATTGTACTTCTATTTCTCAATCTGTTACACAGAGATGTATGATAATAATTTCAGGTTCCTTAGAAATAAAGGGTTTTCTCAAATGGGACACTCAACAGAAATTCAAAGTAGTTGTTTAATGTCCATGTCTGTCTTTAATTTCAGTGTTCATCTTTGGATCCACTATAATCTTTGCTGCATCTTATTGCTTACCTTCACATCCCATAAATGTTCTTCTTGACCTACTAAAGCTCTGCCTGTGGCAAAGTTGCAAAACACCTGAAAAAGTACTTTATTTCCTTCCTCTTCAGTCATAACTGGAGATCTGCAAGTTATGCTTTTCCTGAAGAAATATTTCATATCATAAACTGCTCCCTTAAGCATGGGGTCACTTTAAAAAGAGCCAGTGTTTGCAGACAAACCATTTGTTTTCCTTTGAATGTCTAATTTGTTTATTCCTGTTTTTAAATAATCCCCAAGCAATATAGTTCCTGTAGCTGCGATCATCATGAATTTGAGTTATTCACCTCCCAGGGGGTCAGACCTTTCATCAGTATGCCATTGGCACAGAGCAGCGAGTGTTGCATATTCATTGTCCAGGACACCAGCTAGAGGGCCTCCAAAAAAGCCTGACTTTTTTTGTTCTCAGAGCAAGGAAAACAATCCCTTCCCTTCTCCAGTCCCTTGATAAGGGTTTCTGTCCAATAACGGTGCTCTCTGCTCTGAGGCACATTTAACTGTGAAGTTTGCAGCGGGAGAGGCTTTCCTTCAAGCTGTTAGTGTTTTATCCTGGCAGGCTCCTCGAGGTTGTTGTGAGGAGTCTAGCCAGTTGGTGAGCTTTGTAATCTAAACCAGCTGTCCCAGGCTGAGGCCCCCATTTGCATTGTTTAACATACTTAGAAAATGAAGTGTTCATTTTTAACATTCCTCCTCCAATTGGTTTAATGCTGAATTACAGAAGAGAACTAAGCAAAACCAGGTGCTTTCTCTGTATTCTCTCCAGTGTCTGAGGAGGTACAGACGGCTCCCGATCTTCTCCATTACTTGCCATTTCATTCTTTGGACTATAAATGACAGAGGAACTGAAGCGCTAGCAGAGGGTAATGTTTGGAAAACTTTCTAGTTATTCATCAGCACAGACTCTGGGTTTTTTCCACCTTTCCCCAACGGTTTTGGACATGCAAGGATTAAGAAGGTAAGTGGTATGCATGAAACTTCTTTGCTTACTGACGGGAAACCTACTTGTGGAAAATAGCTGTGGCAGGGGCATGTTATGCCAATCCACTTGCAAAAGCCATTTGAAAAGAGCTGGGATCTCAATGGTCAGAGGTGGGGAAAGACAATCTGCCTGTTATTAAAGCTGTGCTGTCTCTGATGAGTTCCTTCTTGATCTGTGCTTATACTCTGCGCATCTGCGGGAGCGCTGAACTGCAGCAGCAACAATCCCACTGGCTGCAGTGATTGATTGAAGTAAATTAGTTACTATTGCAGAAGTTAATTACTAGTTTAAAATATTTTGCCTGCTGGGCAAGCTACTGTGGCCAGCTGCATGTAGTGTTGATAGGTTGTGCTGCATGTCTGTTAATAATTCTTAAGGGGATTTTAGATCTAAAGTAATGAGCAAATTGAGATCATGGGTGCAGACAGAACATGCATGAGGCAGTAAGGTCACTCCCCCACCAAGAGGAAAGAATATATCATCTTATAGCAAAGGAAACTAAAGACTGTCTAAAAATGTTTGAGTTTTGTCTTACTGTTTTAGGGGGGATTTTGTTATCGTGCACTGTCCTGCAGCAATGTGCAGCAAAGCCCAGTTGCTGCATATGTCAGTATTCTGCTGTAACCTGTTGTACTCCCTCCCAATGCTTTTCTCACTCTATGCAAAGTCAGTATGCAGTCTTTATAGAACTGCACACTTTAAAATCTCTTCAAAATATCTGAGGAATCAATAAATTAAGTGCAAGCCTAAATGGACAAAATTGTAGTTTAAATGCTTTACATTGGACTCCAAGGAAAACTCTGTGCAAAATTTGCCTTTTCTTGTCACACAAAATTTGCTAATGAGCAAAATCTGTCTCCACAGCACTATGAACAACCGTTTTAGGGTTTATGTTTACTTTTCAAGAGCTTGTCCAATTTGTTGTAATGTGTCGGTCATTGTGTGTGGTTTTGTCTGATGCATTTGTAGGTCTTGCTCAGCAGCTCAGTTTGCACTCTGGAAATCAGGGACAGCTCTAAGAGAGAAAGTTGGCAGCTCACATGGGTAGCAGAACTAAGGCTACCTAAAATATCCCGTTTCCTGTACTGGTTTTGTGGGAATGTATTGTATCCAGTTGTCATTTAGAATTACAATCCAAGATAAGCAAGGTGTGGGTCTAATGATACTAGGAAGTTTTATATAAATCAGCAGCAAAACACTGAAATCCACAGGACCTAGAAAAAAGTAGTTGCTGACTGTGCTTTCATGGTTTTCTATCCATTAGTAAATATTTGGAGGTGGAAGTTTACTTGCCCATAATTTTTATGCTCCAGGTAAGGAGCTCCAAAAGTAGGGGTAGGGCTCTTTTAGTGAGGGAGCCTCGTCTTTCAGTTGCAGTAGAGAGAGACCCAGTAGGGAGCACTAGATGTGAAGATGGTATACCTGGGGAAGGCTCCATTGACGATAACAGCTTCTGGTAGCTGGTGACCTGGCACAGTGTGTCTTCTCAAGACTGAGTAAAGGGACAGAATCTGGCCCAAGAAAATGGATTCATCTCAGATAGAGCCTCCTGGGGATGAAATGCGGTTTAGCGGTTGGAGCAGCTGGCTTGGATTCAGGACCTCCTGCGTGACATGTCTGCAGCCCTGCCAACACTTTACGCTGTGAGCTTAGGCAGGGCCTTGCTTGGGTTTACCCATCTGTAAAACATGCACAGTGTGCAAGAAAAGCTTTCATTTTTGCAAAAGAAAGGTGTCAGAGAGGGGAAAAACCGCTTTATTGAATATTGCACACTTGTTCATTTAACTGCTGCTGCATGGGGTGTCATAAAAATCAGATTAGTCCATAGACATGTACAGTCTGGTTTCAATCCCAGTTGCGTAAAACCATAGGACCATCTGAGTCACTGGCTCTGAGACCTGAATCTAGCCCACAGTTATATTACTCCTTCTACAAGGGCCAAATTCGTGTTAGCAAAACTGTGGAACACACTGGAGTGTCACTAGAAATTAATTTGTCCATGTGTATGTAATTCTATGTAATAAGCCTGGATATCAGAAGGTTTTCAGCCTATTTTCTATGCGCATTACAGGATACTGACTGCTTTCACACTGGCTGTCTGCCTTTCAAGCCCTGGAAAAGCACAGGTGAGAGGTGCATGCAGAGATGTGTGTACTGGTTTGTACTGAAGTGCTATATGGCATGAAACTTAACTGGCTAGCAGGTGGATAGGAAGCTCTGTGGTCTGGGGTTTACATGGAAAGGAAGTTGTGTGGTCTAAGGGTTTAGAAGGGAGAACTTGGAGCCAGCAGGATTCTGGAGCTGAACATGGATTGAGCTTATTGACTCATCCTTGCCAGCTCAGCAAAATATCCCTGTAGAAACCTGGACCTCACTGAAAATCTGATTCTGCCTCTAAACTGAACACTTCTGGAACAGGAAATAAGAAAAACCGTGCTATGAAACCAGAGACTGCTCAGTTCTATTGTGAGAAACATCCATATTTGGAAAATTCATTCATAGAAATACATATTTTCTGTGTACAGCAGGATCAAGTCTTAAGACTGTTAAATTTTGGACTGTGATCCTGAATGACTGTATCCCAGTTTTCATTTTCACTTATGCCCAAACCCATTTCCGTTCAAGAGGGTGGATAGAAGAAAAGCAGTCCAGTTCTTGAAACAGCAGAATCATTAGTTCTTTGTGTGCTCAGCCTCCAAGTAATTTTAAATCAGGAAAAAGTGTTCCTACAGGCATGTTGCTTGGATCTCTAGCTGATAGTCCAGATATATTTGGTATCCAGAGCTGTGTTTCTAAATACCTTTGCCAAAAGTCTCTGAAATGTAGTTGTTTTTCTTCTATTACATTGAAAATTTCCTGCACAGGACATGCTTATTGATATTTTTGTGATCATTGGATCTGTACGGGAAATTCTCTTCATGCCTCTGGAGAATTTTTGAGATGTCTTTAAGGGTTTGTTTTTATAATTTAAAAAATATTGTTTACATTGCATTTTTTATAAAAACATCTTGTGACATCAATTGATTTTTGAAGTTGCTTTGAAAAAGAAACTTGAAGCTGAAATGACAGCAATGAGTTCTTTCTGAAGATACTGAAACTGGTAATTTTGACAATATTGGAATCTTTTCTAGACTAAAGTTCTAGAAAGTTGTGGAAACCAGTTCTACAGTAGTTTCAGGGGTTTTGAATCATCATTTTTTGACCAAAACAAAATAATTTTGTTAACAACTATTTGAGCTTTTCCAGCTAACCTAGGTATAGGATATGTACTCAAAAAGGAGAACAAAAGGTGGAGTACATATATTCTTTAAAACATGAGGGTGATTATACATTCTCCCATTAGAATATCTTGGCTTTCCACAACGTGATACTAAAACATCTTGGAATGCCAAAGCAAATGAAGGCAGAATTCCTCCATACTTGTCTGACACTTCTAGCAGTGGTTTTGTGTATTCATATGTGTCAGTGTCAGGTGCAGTCCAAACAGTGTTTCACCTCATGTCCTGTCCCTGGTTCCTGCAATGACCCACCCCTCTAACCCTTTGTCTTCCATCTACAACTTACTACTTTTCCTAACATCAATTAAGTCCTTTACTCTTCCACTCATTTCTTCCATAAAGTCCAAAAATAAGTGTCTTTATCATTAAGAAACAACAAAAAAGGAAGAATCTTGAACACACTCCATCCCTCTGTCCACTGGTTGCTTCAGTGGTTCCTGTTTCCTGGATATCTCTTGCTTACATTGCCTAATACAACCTATTTACTGGAAGATCCTGTGCTTATGTCAATTGCTTGGCCCCTTGCTAAATAGCTGGAGGCCCAGTCAAAAATTAGGAAGAGCAGGGAATAATTTTAGAAGGCTTTCAAACCTGGTGAAACTAGGACTTTCACCAATTTAGAGATGCTGAGGTCACTGAGGAGGTACTGAAGACTCAAGGCTGCAGCCCTGATGATGACCAGCAGAGCAGGAAGAAACAAGGCTTCCAGTAACCTTGAATACCTATAATGTGTTCTATAAAGATTTCTTCTCTAAAAATCACAAGGTTTGGTGGACAGGAAAAGCCTTATTTTTTAAGCTTGTTATGTTTCAACTGCGGCTCTGGATGAGTCAATGTCTGACGTGTTGTGTGCTGAATGGGCTGTCTGGGGAGATTTAGAGCCTGTGGGAGATTTAACAAGGACCTTCGAGATGAACCCCCCTGTTCTGGCAAAACCAAGACCCTAAACTAGAAGACGGTAATTCTGTGCTAACAACTCATAACACATTGTACCCCTGTACTCATAACACATTGGTGACCCCTGGGCAGAGGAGCAGCCTGACACTGCCATCACCTGAGGGTGCCACTCCTGAGCTAAGGGGCTGGAACCTGTGCTGAGGCCTCAGGTTCATGGCTTGCTGACTGTCCCCTGGGGAAGGAGCTTTATTTTCATGTACTGTATCATGCTGAACAGTTGTACTAATCGTAACAATCCAGATGAACATTTGACTCTGCAAACCTCTTATTTCACCATCACTGAGTGTCCTTTTTTCTCTCATTTTAGCAGCAATGCACTAATGGGTTTGACCTGGACCGTGCCTCTGGGCAATGCTTAGGTAGGACTTTAATTAAATCAATACATTTACATTTGGGTTCAGAAATCCTGAATTTATTGAGTTAACATTGTGTTGCTCTTACTATGTTTTAGATGAAAAGTTCTTACTTTGTGACAGATATGTGTGTTTGTATACATGTATATACAAAAAATATGAGTATATATAAATGTGTGTGTGTGTGTGTGTGTGTGTGCGCCTTTACATAGCACTGATCTTTGACATTGTTGTGATACTGACAGGATGTCAGGGCTACTAAAACAACAGTGATGCATTTTGGTAGGAGCTCAATGTGGCTGCCAAAGGACAAGGGCTGTTCACCCTCCTTCTATTTCTCCTTCAAATTCAGGATTTATTGTCTATGTTGCCTGTCTCCACCTGCAGGTTCAAATAAAGTCTTCCATTCTCAGAAACTGAAACTCCAAGTAAACTGAGTTGAGGTAGTGTAAGGAAATCTGCATTTTGCCCAGTAGCATCTTTTTGTCATTGGCAATCAGTCTCCAGGGCAGCATTTTCTGCATCCATAGAGTCCCCCAAACACAAAGGGAAACACCTGCAGCAGATTGTCCTGCCATAGCCTACTGTTTCTGTGGCCCAAGAGCCAGGGGAATGCTCAATTTGGCTAAACCAGTTGTATCTTTCTAAATTTAATTCAGCCACAATCTCAGTGAAAGCAAGAAAGACGCCTGAACTGTGTCCCCAGATCTGAGCATCCCTAATTTGGAGGGAAGGAACTCGAGACTTCCAAAGCAGGATCCAAATTTCACAGCTGGGCAGACCAAACCATCAGTTTCTGAAATCCTGATCTGTATGTTGTGGTTTGGACAGATCCTCCAGCAGGAACAGGCAGTAGCATGCTGCAGCCATGTGTAAACCAGAGTTTAAACCAAGCTTCTATGGAATAGCAAAGCAGGTCTTGTCCTCTCCCTCTATCCTCTAATAGTGGAGTAAAACAGGCAGATCACAGGATATGTTGCATATAAGGGAAGTTTCCTGTTTTAGTACAATCTAACTTCAAAGTGAGACACCACAAGGAAGGATTAGCCACTTGATGGAGAACATATTTCTTTTTTTGCAAAGTTTTAAAAAAAAAAAAAAATTTAACTACTCTTTGATAGGTGCCATTAAGGAGCAATCTCTCTTTCAACCTTTGCAATTTCATTCCAGATATTGATGAATGTCGGACTATTCCTGAGGCCTGCAGAGGAGACATGGTGTGTGTCAACCAGAACGGCGGCTACCTATGCGTGCCCCGAACAAACCCGGTGTACCGCTCGCCCTACCTGAGTCCTTACTCCAACGTGTATCCCCCGCCCCCCGCCCCCGGCCCCGGCCCCAACTACCCCACTGCCACCCGACCTCTCATCTGCCGCTTCGGCTTCCAGCTGGATGAAAACAATCAGTGTGCTGGTGAGTAGCAGAAATCGTTCTTCTAGATTTTCATTTACATTAAAGCTTGTCCTGCAGTTGTCCTTCAGTTAATGCAGCACTATTTTGAAGTATCAAGCCCAGTATTTTGAAGTCGAAATTTTTTAAGGATACAAGCTGTATGTTTCATATCATCAGTATTCAGTGCAAACTAAGATATGACTCAGTCCTATTATTTAAGCAGGAAAGCTATTTTCATGAAAGAAGTAATGTTTTTATGAAATAAACAGCCATCTGAAGGCAGGTGATTTGTCAGTGCATCAAAAGCATGCCTTTTATGCTTATGATTCTGTCCATGAGAGAGAAGGTGGCCTTCATTTGAAGTGTTAGATGGGGCCTGGGAAAACTCCATTCATCTCTTGGCTGTATGTGAACTGGTCTTTGACAAGAAAAAAAAGCCTAAACCTGAGAAGCCATGAGCTTTCAACAGAGAATTTTACCTCTCTTTAGAGTAAGGAACAGCACTTTCTTCAAAACTGCTGCAGAAAAACACAAGAGCTAAAACTGACTTGTCTTTTGGGCTTATTCTGCCCTGTTGTCTGAAATTTCTGGCAGGACTTGGTTGCAAATGGTGCACTGTCTTTGTTGCCCTGCTGAGGAGACCACAAGAGCTTCACAGGAGCTTTGGAAGTCTAGAGTTAAATTCAGCTAACATTAGGGACACATTTTTTGTATTTGTCCTTTCCAAGGTGGGAAAAACATATTTTCTAATCAACAAAGAAGAAAACTAAAATCCTAAACCCTGGGTTTTTTTGGGGTTTTTTTGTGTTTTTTTTTTGGTTTTTTGGTTTTTTTTGTTTTGTTTTGTTTTGGTTTGGGTTTTTTTTTTTTTTGTTTTTGTTTTTGTTTTTTTTTTTTTTTGAGGACTGTTTAAATCCTAGGATCACTGAAGAGTTTACTGTAAAAATAAGCATTTTTACTATCTGATTCTTTGAAAATGAGCTATAGTCCATTTCATCTTAGCAAATTGATCAACCTGTTATTTTATCTACTGATTTGTAGATTTCCAGGAGTGTTTTCATTTTGCTCACTTTGCCTTAGATGATTCAGGAAGTAGGCTAGTTAGTAGAAAAGAAGTGCTGAAATGAAAGTGGAAATGAAACCTCTGAATTATACTGTCTGGTCTGCTCCATGCAAACCAGAATAATCAAAACAGGAAGATTTAGGAAACTTTTACAGTGAACTTTACTGCCTCCAAAGAGCACACATGTTCCTATCTATGCTGGCAGAAATGGGAGGACTAATACTTCTTTCAGTCAGGGCTGTTCACTTCTGTCATTTTAACTTTCAAATATTTGGGATTTAATTGTAAAGAAAGTTTAGTGATGAGAGACATTAATGAAAATGCATGGGAAAGGACAGGCTGCCATTTGAGCACCACAGCAAGCTGGGAGCAGTTTTTGTAAGTCTACATCAGATTTGAATTTGGGTAGATGATGTGCTAAAGGAAGAAAAACAAAACTAAAAGAAAATAAGACCTGTCAGGGGTCTCTGCTGGGTTAGATTTTTTTATTTAGTTAGATTCTCTTGAAACATTCACTATCTTGATGCAGTATTTATTGTTGTATCTGTGTGTGTTTTGTACCTATGTGCCCCAGGATGGAAAGTGTGGTCACCAAAGGGAGTGATTTGGTCCATGTCTCACTGTGGTGATGGTAGAAAGGCCTGATCCCCTGTTTCCAGGATTCCTGGAGCAGTTAACAGGGTTATGTGCAGTGCCATGCTTCAAGTCACTTGATCCTTGGAGGCAAAATATCAGGGAACCTTGACAGGGTCCTCAGGAGCAACCAAAATTTTACCCAGGTCATTCAAGAAAGTCTGACCCACAGGATCATGGCATCCATAAGCCAATTATAAGCATCACTCATGTTAATGGTATTTCAGTTGCTCTGTGTTACCTCCTTGTCCATATTCAGCATGTTCTTAGGATACAAAGCACTCCAATGGCTAATTTTGTGGTGGAATGGTTGAAAAGAACGAACTAGAAGTAATTTTGCCCAGTAGCTGGGTCACTGTGTAACAGGTTTGTTATGTTGGTGTTCTAGCACCTTCTTTCCAAATAAAATTAGTCAAAGGTATTTCCACTAGAGATAATGAGATTTTTTGCTACTGACTGCAGGGGAACTAGAGTTATTCTTGTGCCAATGTGTCTGAGCAATCTGCAGATTTTAACAGAGTACACATTTTTGTCTGGTCAGATATGGGGTTACAGATCTACTACTAGAACAACAGAAATCTTTACTTTCACTTTGAATGTCAGTCAAAACAGCTTATTGAATACAGGAGCATTTTCTGGGAGTTGGGAGATTTGCAGCCTCAGCTTTGAAGCACTGAGGTTGTTCAAGATACTTCCAAAGTGAAACAGGACAAAAATTTGATCTGAAAGTTTTGTGAGTTTTAACAAGCTCTTTCTTTTTTTTTTTTCCTACCACTCCACAAAATGTAGGGAGGCTGTAAGAAGGTTACTCTGTCCCAGTCTGGCACCTGGCCTGCCTGCCATGACCCCACATTCCTTGGCTCTCAAGGGAATGTGCACCCCTTGCTGTTCACATAACATTCCCCCTCGTGGAGCTGATCTGTTTCCATGCAGCGAAAGAAGATATATTATCCATTCTTCTCCCTTTCGAGCTTTTTGGCCTCATCCTTTCTGGCCTGGATGGTCTTAGACAGTGGTTAAGTGTCCACAATCCTTCCCTATCCTGGTCACCACTCAGTCTTGCCAAGATTCTTTCATCTCCAGATCTTGTCCTTTATGAAAACAAAACTTTTCCTGGCTCAAGTCCCTCTCAAAGACACCTGTCTGTGATGGCTTTGCTCATTCCAGTGTCCTCTGTGCGCTGCAGAAGTACCTGTAGCCATTTGTGGTAGCAGACAGAGAAATGTTTTAATGATAATTACTTCTAAACTCTTCTGTGGGTTTGATTCCTAATATGTGGTATTTTTGACCTTTGGAGTTGCTGAGTGCTTTATATTTTGTATATGTAAGTGGTCTGTGTTTTCAACAGCACAGAGTTTTTGTAAATCATTCCAAAGCAGGTTGGGAATGATTTATAACCACAATTAATGTTGGAATAAAAGACCACATACAGAAAAAAGCAAAGAACATCTAGTGCAAGAGCACTGTTTGAACTGTTTGTCTTCTAACATTACTTCTCTATAAATACAGAATGAGTTAGTCATAATAATGACTTTTTGCACAAGGAACTTTGTCTAGTAACTGTTGGCTTCAGATTACTGGAGTGAGGGCCTGTGTTCTTGCATTATACATTCGTAAGCTGAGAGCTCTTTCCAGTTTCCTTTCACTCCACCTTGCTGTTTCCTGATTTACAATGATCTTCAAAACATGCCTCAAACACAGATCCTTCTGGGCATTGTAGAAAGAACTGTACTGGGTGGGCTCTTATTATTGCTTTCTCTCCAATTAATGCAAACTCACAATGTGAGGACATGGTGGGGTTGGAGAGGTTGAACAGAGAGCTCAGAGAAAGCAGACGTCAAAGACAGAGCGGCAAATGTCAGGAAAAGTACGAGCATAAGGTCCGATAAGTATGACCTAGATAGAGAGGGAAGGGAGGAGGGCAGAGGAGCTAATTTAAAAAAAAAAAAAAAACAAAAAACAAAAAACAAAACAAAACAAAACAAAACAACAAAACATAATATTTTTTTTGCTTTAATTTTTAAAGCAAAAGGTAAAAGGAAGAAGGAAATGGAAGGATGCTGTCTCCAAGTGCAAGAGAGAATTGGTTTTCGTGCCCCATTTGTGCAGTAGTCATTGCTTCAGCTTTCCTTATTTCTCAGAGATCGGCAGGACCTCCTACATTCCCCACCAATGGGTCCCCAGTTCTGCGTTTGTGGAGTGAAACTCCTTCCTTCAAAAGATTACCTTTGCACAGATGGGTTTTAGATCATTATAATTTATACTGCAAGCACACCTAAACCCCACATCCAAGCCTGCAATTGCACTGCCCTGCCTTGTGCCCAACCTCATTAAGAGCAGCCTATGTCTAGATGAGTTTTCAAGCAAAATGAAGGAACCAGATGTTCCTGTGTGGGGAAAGGGGAGGGAAATTAAGAGACAGAGAACTGAAAGGAGGTGCCCAGGTCTTGCATCAGGCTCATGGCTGTGCTGGGATAGAGCCCAGAGTTCCTTATCCCATGGCTTAGCCATCAAGCCAGGCTGCCTCCTCCTAATGACTTTCCTAGTGACCTCTCTGTGCATATAGAAACAGGAGGAAGAAAAGCAGGGAAATGCAGCAAGGAGATTATGCGTTACAAGGGTTTGTATAAATGGAATAAAATGGAATGGAATCAAAATGGAATCCACTCCCGCCGTTTCCTTTTTTAACCCTATTTGGTTCAGCTCTGTGTCTTTCCCTTTTCCTCTTGGTCTGTGAGACAATCTCTTTTGCTGCTCCAGAGGGCCAGTTCCTGAAGGTCATGCATGATCCCTGGTAGGGAATGACTGCCATCATGTTCAAATTAACCAGAAAAAAAAGGGAAAGATTACATGACAACAGATTCTGTGAGAGGCTGAGCTCAGACTTCTGAAAGTATAGGTAATTGTTGACAGCTCCTGATTAAATTAAGGGCCATGATATGTAGCTTTTACTTGTAGTATGGTTTTCCTGATGTATGAGGAAACATGAATTGAGACCTCATGCTGCCATAGCAATGGGAAAGTTTCCTCTCAAGCATCTCAAGAGTTTATAGCTGGTGGCTAAGGCTTGGGTTGGAGGAGTTTGTGTTCAGTTCCCAGCTTTGCCATAAAGCATGCCATTCCTGCAGTCACCATCCCTGGAAGTGATCAAGAAACACCTGCACATGGCACTCAGTACCGTGGTCTAGGGGACAACGCAGTCAAAGGTTGGACTCAATGGTCTCGGAGATCCTTTTCGGTCTGACTGATTCTGTGATTCTGTGCTTGATATTTTGGGGCTAAAATGAAATAATATTCATTTTCAGGATGATACCAAGATTAATTT